GACTATGTCGCTGGACTCCCATGTAGTCAACCGTGGTTTGAGTACCGGACCCGGTGGCTTAAACTTACGCCTGGCGCGTGTGCGTGTGTGCCCAAGATCCCCAAAGGAGAAAGGAGAAGGGATTGCACCCTGTGGGGTGACTTCTTGCTTTCTGTCTCTCTGTCTCTGTCTGTCTCTCTGGCAAGCGCACGCGCCCTATAACGAAAACCTCTCAAAAAAGAAGAAAAAGAGGGACCAGCAGTTAGCATAATGGCTATGTCGTTGGACTCCCACGTAGTCGACCGCGAAACTCACACTGGGCGTGTGTGTGTGCGTGCCCAAGATCCCTAGAGGATAATGGAGGAGAAGGGATTGTGGCGTGGCCATCCTCCCTGGGGGGTGACTTCTTGCTTTCTGTCTTTATGTCTCTCTCTGTCTTTCTGGCAAGCGAATGCGCCCTATAGCAAAAGTCTCTGAAAAAAAAAAAAGATCCAGGGTACACGTACACTTCAAGCTTATTTGTCAATCTGACAGGGCCAGGACTCAAACTCTGGTCGGCCATGTGGGATTCTGTGTAGCACCTAACCCTAGAGCCAGCCAAATTATTATTATTTTTTTTTTAAGAATCATTTATTTTATTTTACTTTATTTTATTTATTATTATTATTTGTTAAATTTGGTATAGGGTGGGACCAGCAGATGGCATAATGGTTACATCGCTGGACTCCCACTTATTATTTTTATTTTAATATGCTATAGGGCACATGCCCTCACCAGAGAGAGAGGAAGGGAAAATGAGAAAGAAAACTGCCAGGTCCAGGACTTGAACTGCACTTCACCATGTGGGAGTCCAGTGCCTTAACCACCACACCACCTGCTGGTCCCCCCCAGCCAGATTCTTAACTATTAATACGTGGTTGGAACACTTTCTTAGACAATAAAACTATAAGGTCAATTGAATAAAATGCTGCAAGATATCTTTGTGATCTTGGGGGTGAATAACCGCTTCAAACAAGACTCAGCACAAATCTAAAGTATTTGGCTCTATAAAAAAGACTTATTGTTCTTTAACTAAGGAGATGTTAGATAAAGTAAAGAGAACAAGACAGACAGGGAGGAAATATGTACAAGATTAAAAATCAACAAAGTTGAGACTGTCAGGTAGCATGGTGATTAAAGAGCTAGAGTCCCACGGTCAACCATGGTTCGAGTCCAAGACCTGGCAGCTTGTTTTCTCACCATTTCCTATCTCTGGTCAAATTAAAAATAATAATAAATAAAATTAATAATTCTTTTTTTAAAACCAAGAGAAATAAATAATTACACATGTAGGGACATACAAATAAGTAGTAAAAAGCCTAGAAACCCAATAGAAAAAAAAAACCATAATATATAAAGAGGCAGTTCACAGAAGAAGAGTCCCCAATAGCTGACAAGTGCATGAAGAACTGCTCAAACTCTCCAGTCATCAGAGAACCCATATGCACCGGACCAGTTCCATACCTGGTAGTTAAGGGAGCTGGATCCCACATGACTGACCACAACCCAGCTGAAAGTTGTTTTCTCCCTCTGTCTCTCTGAAGGCACTGAATCCCACATTGCCAGCTGCACAGTTCGGGTCCCAGATCCTGCAGCCTGGCAATCATGCCAGGCATGTGTGCGTACCCAAAATTCCAAGAGGAGACTGAAGGAGAAGGGATCGTGGCATGGCTATCCCCTGGAGAGTGATTTCTCTTTCTCCATCTCCCTCTCTCTCATACTCGTACACACACACACACGCATACACACTTTTTCCTCTGGTAAGCACACATGCTCTATAACAAATACTAAAACAAACAAACAAAATGGGACACCACTTTCAAGTCATAAAATTGGCAAGCCATTAGAAAGCAGACATGTCAGCTCATACAGCCACTCAGGAGGAGTAACGGCGCTTGTGTCCTGAGGCCTGGCAGTCCTGCCCCAAGAGGAATTCTCCCACAGTCCCTAAGGGATAGTAGAAAGATGTTTGTGGCAGTGATGTATGTGATAGGGCATTGAGGCCAACCTGAGTGTGCAGTACTGTGGGGGTGAAGCAGATAATAAAAGTGCTGGAAGTTGAAACAGAGGTGGTGTGGTGGTTAGGGCACTGCACACCTACATGGTCAACATTGGTTTGAGTCCCAGACCTGGCAGCTTGCTTTCTTACTTTCTCTCTCTCTCTCTGTCTCTCCCTGGTGAGCGTACATGTCCTGTAGCAAATTAAAAATAAATAATAGGGGCCAGCAGGTGGTATAGTGGTTAAGGTGCTGGACTCTCATGTGCCTGACTGCGGTTCAAGTCCCAGACCTGGAGGCTTGCTTTCTTATTTTCTCTCTCTGGTGAGCGAATGTGTCCTATAGCAAGTTATTTTCCCCCCAAAAAATTATCTATTTAATTAATTTTATTTGTCATTATTATTTATTTATTTTTTATTTGACCAGAGAGAGAGAAAGGGAAAGTGAGAAAGCAAGCTGTGGGAGTCTAGCACCTTAACCACCACACCACCTGCTGGCCCCTCTGGTAGCAAATTTTAAAAATAATAATGTTGAAGTTAAAAATAAGAATAATGATACATTACAATGAAATAAATAATTCTTTTTTAAAAAGTGCTGGGGCCTGCAGGTGGGTGGTGGTTAAAGTGCTGAACCCCCACATGGCTGACTGCAGTTTGAGTCCCAGACCAGTCAGCTTGAAAATCATGCCGGCCTGTGGGTGTGCATGCCCAGAATCCCAAGAGAAGAATTGAAGAGAAGGGGTTACAGCATGGACATCCTCCCGGAGGGTGATTTCTCATTTTCTCTCTGTCTCGCTCTGTCTAGCAAGCTCACATATCCCATAGCAAAAATCTCTCAACAATAATAATAAACAAATAAATAATTTTAAAAGTCCTGAGAGCTTAACCTGGTGTGACGTGCATGTAGCTAGTAGAACCAACAGACAGGAGGAGACCAGCAGATGGCATAATGGTTATGTCACTGGACTCCCACATAGTCAACCACTGTTCCAGTCCCAGACCCGGTGGCTGCCCAAGTCCCAAGATGAGAATGGAGAAGAAGGGATTGTGGTGTGGCCATCCTCCCTGGGGGGTGATTTCTTACTTTCTGTCTCTCTGTCTCTTTCTGTTTCTGTCTCTCCAGTGAGCACACACGCCCTATAATAAAAATCTCTCTTACATTAAAAGGGAACAGTCAATATATGTATGTGGAAAACACTAGTGCCGAGGGGAAAGATATAAATGTGTAAACAAAAGGAGTTTTGGGGGATCCAGCAGTTAGCGTAATGGCTATGTCGCTGGACTCCCACGTAGTCGACCGCGGTTCGCATCCCGGCCCCAGTGGCTTAAAACTCACGCTGGGCCCATGTGCGTGCGGGCCCAAGATCCCAAGAGGAGAATGGAGGAGAAAGGATTGTGGTGTGACCATCCCCCCTGGGGGTGATTTCTCGCTTTCTATCTCTCTGTCTCTCTCTGGTCAAATTAAAATAAATAAATAAATAAAGATAAATAAAATAATTCTTTAAAAAAGAAAGAAATTCACACTGGGTGCATGTGCATGTGTGCCCCAAATCTGTAGGGGACAATGGAGAAAGGATTGCAGCATGGCCAACCCCCTTGGGGATGATTTCTCACCTCCCCTCACTCTGTCTCTGTCTCTTTCTCTCTGGAGAACACATGCACTCTATGGAAAAACAAATTTTATATATATGTGTATATATATATATGTGTGTGTGTGTGTGTGTATGTGTGTGTATAATTTTTTAAATTGCCAGACAGAGAGAATGAGAAAGAAAGCACTCCCTTCCCCAATGGGGCATGGTTGCTCTGCAATTTCTTCTCCATTCTCCACCCTATTGGGATCTTTGGCACGCCTGCAAATGTGCCTGGTGTCTTTTTCAAGCCACTGGCATTAGAACCAGACATGGCTGTCCATGTGGAATTCAGCTCCCTTAAACACTAGACTATGGGCCCAGCCCCCAAACTAACTTTAGATTGCAGAGTCAGGAATGGCCTCTCTGAAAGGAGATATTTGAGCAGGGGTGCAGATGATGAAAAGAGCTAGCTTTTTAAAAACTGTTTTATTTAAGACTAACAGAGGTGGGGCCAGCAGGTGGTACGGTGGCTGGGCCTCTGGATTACCATATGGTTGATGGTTCGAATCCTAGACCTGGCAGCTTGCTTTGTCACTTTCCCTCTCTCTCTAATTAAAATAACAGTAATGAAAATAAGTAAATTAAATAATTAGTTTTAAAAAATAATAAAACATAGAAAAACAATATGCATTACAAGATTACTGTGGCTGGGGACCAGCAGATGGCATAATGGCTACAACGCTGGACTCCCATGTAGTCGACTGCAGTTTGAGTCTCGGACCCGGTGGCTTAAACTCACACAAGGTGCATGCCTGCTCAAGACCCCAAGAGAAGAATGGAGGAGAAGGGATTGTGGTGTGGCCATCCCCCCACTCCCCAGGGGGAGATTTCTCGCTTTCTGCCTCTCTGTCTTTCTGGAGAGCGCACGCGCCATATAGCAAAAACGTCTCCAAAAAAAATAATTAAAAAATAAATCACTGTGGCTGCTACGTGGAGACTGGATTAGAAGAGTGGTGGCTACATAAACTCTGAGCGTCTCAGTTTCTACATATGCAAAAAGGTGAGAAAAATAAGTCCCATGCAGAGCCGTAGTAAGGCGGGGAAACAGTTCCCAGAGTCTCCTTGGCCCTTGAGGAGCAAATTGGGGTGCAAAAGGCCTCATACCGGATCTGGGAAGCTAGCGTGGGGAAAGCCCTCCAGGTTTCCACCTAGCAATCGCGTACGAGAAGCGACTCAAATTGTCGCTTGCAGAAGCGGCCGCTTGGCGGCGCCGCCGGCCTGGCCCGTTCAAAGCAAGGAGGCCCCGCCCACCAACGCGCTCGGCGCTCTGCAGCTCGGGCCTGCTAAGGACGAGAGGGGGCGGGGCCAGCGTGTGGGGCGGGGCCTCACCCGGACGCGGGCTGGTCGAGCTCCTGTTACGCCGGCGCGGGGCGGGGACTGCGCACGGAGGCGGGGCCGTGGCGACCACAATCTCGGGGCAGATGGCGGCGGTGAAGGGAACCTGAGTGGGCCGGGGCCATGAGTGCCACCCGGCCCCAGTTCAGCATCGATGACGCCTTCGAGCTGTCCCTGGAGGACGCGGGCCCTGGGCCGGAATCCAGCGGCGTCGCCCGCTTCGGACCGCTGCATTTTGAGCGCCGGGCCCGGTTCGAGGTGGCTGACGAGGACAAGCAGTCCCGGCTGCGCTACCAGGTGAACGGCCCGGCCCACCTCGGCACCCCGCCCCAGTCCAAGGAGGACCCCAAATTCCAACTGTGAGGAGACTCTGCCTAGAGGCCCCAGCGGAAGCGGAAAACCGAATCCCCCCAATGTGACCCCTAATCAGGAGTCCTTCCTAAACTCTCGTAGCTCTGATTTTGATCCCCAGCCAGTGAAAGTCCAGATCCCAGAACCGGGAACGCATTTCTCAGTTCCAGCTGGAGAGCCCACCCGGAGTCCCCACCTATCCTGAGTAGAGTCCTCCCCCCTGCTGGGTTAGGGGAGCTCTTCTGTATCCTAACCAGACCTGGCCCTTATGTAGGAGCATCCAAATCCCGGCCTGATCATTTAACAGGAAACTGCTCCCCTTCTCTGAGCTCCCACCCTAATCTCCCCCCAGAGCTGGAGTCCCATAGTCACATGACCAGTCCTTGCCCACCGCTTGACTCCCATGAAACCAGAAATCCTCATTTTCCCAGAGAATTTCCACCAACCCCAGGATCCTTTTTTTGGAGACCTGGGACAGATTCCTGTGTCCCAAACCTGGGAACTCTGAGCCTGTTCTTTCCTGGTGTCCCACATCTGGAGTCCTCATGCTGGGCCCTTGAAACAGTGAGGGCTCCATCCTCACTCTCAAATTTGGGAGCTCTCCTGGCTCTGAAACCCATGCTGGAAGCCCTCCACCAACCCCTGCTGGCTCCTGCTCTCCAAAGCCCCTAGCATCCACCCATCTCCTACCTGGGTTTCAGTTTCTGTGAATCACCAAACCTGTTCTGCCAAGAGGGCAGAGGGCCAGGTGAGCGGTGGCCAGGCAGCCAGCTATGTGAACCTGCTTTTCTCCTCTCCTTGAGAGGGGGTGCTGAAGGGCCGGAGCCCAGCAACCCCTCTGAGCCCTGTGTCTGGAACAGAACCTGGAGAATGATGAGGATGGAGCCCAGGCCTTTCCAGAGCCCGATGGGGGAGTCAGCACCAGGTCAGGACCAGGTGGGGACCCACCCTTATACTTCCAGCCCCGTGCCTCTGGCTCCTGTCCCCAGAGACCCAGCCCAGTCCCCCCACTCCTTTTACTCAACTTTACTGTCCTAGCCTGACCCCTACTACCTTCATGGTGTCCCCTGTCATCCTACCCTAGTGCCCAGCCCCATCCACCTACCCCCCACCAGGCCGTGACCTGCAGGAACCTCCAGCCTGATCCGGTCTCCACCTTCTCACGGGTCATCTTCCCGCAGGAACCCCCAGCTCTCATGTCCAGCCTTCCCCCTGCTTGTATTCATCCATGTCCCCAATACCTCTCTGTCCTGCCGAGGCTAGCCCTGGTTCTTCCACCACCCAACCCTTCATAATTCTAGCTTCAAGGGGACCCCTTCCTTGCGCCCCCTCCTGCCACTCACCGAGTCACCTGTCCTGTAGGGATTCTGGCCGTACATCTGTCCGCAGCTCTCAGTGGTCCTTTAGCACCATCAGCAGCAGCACCCAGCGCTCCTACAATGCCTGCTGCAGGTGAGCCCTACCCTGAGCCCCCAGCCTGGGTGGCCCTGGCTCTACCCCACAGCCTTCCCACCTCTCCTTTCACCTCTTACGCACCATCCTGTTCTCCTGCTACTCAGCTGGACACAACACCCTTTGATCCAGAAGAACCGCCGGGTAGTGCTGGCCTCCTTCCTGCTCCTGCTGCTGGGGCTCGGTGAGTCCCCCAAGGCCCTGCCTGCCCCCTTGAGAGGTTCTGCCTGTCTTCTGTGTGGGCTCTGTCCCCCTCTTACACACGGAACTTCCCAGCAGCCTGAAGAGGCAGCTGGCTGCCCTCACTTACCCATTTTACAGGTGAGAGACTGAGACCTTGAGGGGGCAGGCCCAGATTCCTGGTCACACAGCCAGGAAATCATACATAGCTGGAAGTAGAACCTGGTATTGTTCCCCAAAGAGTATTATTGTTTTAAACACAACCTGTTTAATCCACTAGGGGACAAAGGGGAGCAGCCACCACAGGTAGGGATGAGTGTTGAAGGATACGCCCATTCCTGTAGCTAGAGGTACTAGCACTCTCTCAGCCCGCACAGGGCATCCGTCACTTCCCCTTATGTGGATGTGAGAGCAGAAAAGGACTTCTCTACCCCCTTTGCTCAGATGGGGAAATTGAGGCCCAGAGAACGCAGTTTTCTGACTCCCGGGCGCCTCATTCTGTGCAGCTAAGGAAACAGGGTCCTCAGAAAGGATCCAAGGGCCATAATGAGGGACCACCTGCAGTTGCTGCCCTGGCTTCCCCTCCATCCCTCCTCCAGGAAGGTCACAGTCCCCAAGTCAGGCAGCCCCCTGCTCAGAAAGCCTGGCCTCAATTCTAGGTGTCTGTGTGCGGACAAAGGAGCTACTGCTTCCAGCACCACTGCATGCTGGGCTCTCATGGCCTGGCTGTGAGCTCCTCATTTTATCCTCTCAACAACCCAACAAGGCAAGTGTGGTTATCATCCTCATTACAGAAATAAGGACATGGGCCAGGCGCGTGTGCGTGCGTGCCCAAGATCCCGAGAGGAGAATGGAGGAGAAGGGATTGCGGCGTGGCCATCCCCCCTAGGGGGGTGATTTCTTGCTTTCTGTCTCTCTGTCTCTATCTGTCTGGTGAGCGCACGCACCCTATAGCAAAAACCTCTCCAAAAAGAAAAAGAAGAAATAAGGACATGGGGGCCAGCAGGTGGCGTGGTGGTTAAGGGTGCTGGACTTCTACATGGCCAACCACAGTTCGAGTCCTGGACTTGGCAGCTTGCTTTCTCACTTTGGACAGGGTCCGACAGGTGAAGGAACTTGCTCAGGTCTCAGTAAGGAGGTAGATGAACTGGGATTTAAACCCATATCTGTGACACTGCCAGGTCTTTTCAGGAATTAGGAAAAGATGCCTCTAAAGAGGGCAGAGTCGGGACCAGCAGTTGGCATAGTGGCTGTGTCGTTGGACTCCCATGTAGTCGACTGCAGTTCAAGTCTTGGACCCGGTGGCTTAAACTCACACTGGGCGTGCGTATATGTGTCAGAGGAGAAGTGATTGCAGCATAACCATCACCTCCTGGGGGGTGATTTCTCACTTTCTGCCTCTCTCTCTGTCTTTCTGGCAAGCACACGTATCCTATAGCAAAAACCTCTCCAAAAAAAAATGGGGCAAGCAGGTGGCATGGTAGTTAAGGGCACTGGACTTCCACATGTCTGACCACAGTTCGAGTCTTGGACCTGGTGGCTTACTTCCTCACTTTCCCTCTCTCTTTCTCTCACTCTGTCTCTCTCTGGTCAAATTAAAATAAATAAATAAAGTTAAATAAAATAATTATTAAAACAAACAAACAAACAAAAGGGCAGTGTCTGCAGCCTGAAGCTAGGGTGTAGAAGGTAGATTTTGACCCATCACAGCCTTTTCAATATGCTCTGTGTAGGGACCAGCAGTTAGCATAATGGCTATGTCGTTGGACTCCCATGTAGGTAGTCAACCGTGGTTCGCGTCCCAGACCTGGTGGCTTAAAATTCACGCCAGGCGTGTGTGCGTGCGTGCCCAAGATTCCAAGAGGAGAATGGAGGAGAAGGGATTGCAGTTTGGCCATCCCCCCTGGGGGGGTAATTTCTCGCTTTCTGTCTCTCTGTCTGTCTGTCTGTCTGGCGCGTGCACACGCCCGATAGCAAAAACTTCTCAAAAAAAAAAAAAAAAAAGATGCTCTGTGTAGTACCCAAAACCCAACAGTCCATAGAGGCCCCTGGAGCCCCCAGCTGTACCAGCCCCCTTATCACAGGGCCCAAAGTCCAGCATCCTACCTCTCCCCTCTCTTCTCTAACTGGGGTACCAGGACTCTGAGTTTGGAAAGTAAATCCAGCTATGACCTTTCTACGTTCCTTGATGCCCTCTGTCTTCTGCCAGCATTTCCTCCTGGGGCTCACAGAGGCTACCAAACTCCTCCACAGTGGCCTCTTGCCCCTCCCTCTTGTCAAATACTGGGAGCTCTTCACCCCAAGTTCCTTTGAGACTTTGGGCCGTGGCCATGCTCTTCCCTGTCTCCAGAATGTTCCTTTCTTCCTCTCTGCCTAGAAGATACCCATAGCAAAACCTCTAGAATCAGCCCCCAGCTTCAAACTGTAGCTTTGGACAAGGTCCCCTTTCTTTGCCTCAGCTTCATCTTCAGTGACAATACTTGTTGTATCATCAAACTTGTCTCATTTGGTCAAGGTGACAAATAAGGCAATGCATATAACACGTGCCATCGGGCTTGTTCTCTTGCCAGGAAGAGACAGAGAGAGAGAGAAAGCATCCTCTAGAGGGGATGGCCATGACGCAATCCCTTCTCCTCCATTTTCCTCTTGGGATTTTGGGCACACAAGCACATGCGCCCGGTGTCATTTTCAAGTCACTGAATCCGGAACTTGAACAGTGCCTGGTAGCACCTGGTAAGTGCTCAATAAATATATATTTTTCAAACCTTTTTTTAAAGAATTATTTTACTTAACTTTTATTTATTTATTTAAATTTGACCAGAGAGAGACACAGGAGAAGGCAAGAGAGAGGGAATGTAAAAACCAAGCCACCAGGTCCAACCTCAAACCAGTCAGTCACGTGGGAGTCCAGCATCCTTCACCACGCTACCTGCCAGCCCCAAAGCTCATTAAATATTAACTGTTACTGTTACCGGCTGACTAGCTTACATGTCACTGGCTCCAAGAGGCCCCTGTCCAGTCCACAGGCTCCTATACTGCCCTGTCCTCTCACCACGCGTCATCATCTGGGTTATAGCTTTCAGGTTCTCACTTGTCCCTCCACTAAGGAAGGGTGAGGAGAGCAGGACTTGACTGACTTTTCAGGGCAGAATTCTCAGTACCAGAACACAGTAGGTGCCCCATAGATGTTGACTGGCCGAAAGGCCACACCCTGGAGCAAGAATTTCTCCTTTCACAGACATTTCCCAGGGCCTTCCACGTGCCCTGCTCTGAAACAGAGCTCGGTGCCTTTCCTGGGGAGGGTCTTTGCCCTGGGACCTTCAGTTCAGGTGGGGGACACAATTCCTCAGACCTGAGTCATGTGGGGGGTGGATGGTGGAAGTCCCTGCCCTCACCCTCGTGGCTCCATCTGTGTGCAGTGCTGATCTTGGTCGGCGTGGGACTGGAGGTGACCCCCTCTCCAGGTGAGCGCCCCTTCCTCCCTCCACAGGCAGTGGTTACCTCTGCACCAGCCCTCGGCTAGCCCTTTCACCTCCCAGCAGAAAATGGCCCCCTTTTCAGCTGAGTGGCGCTTGCCCAGGAAGTCAGTGTCAGGACTGAAGGAACTTGCAGCCTGTAGCCCCTAGTCCTGACCTGGCCCCTCCTCTCCGTCCTGCAGGTGTCTCCAGCGCCATCTTCTTTGTGCCAGGCTTCCTGTTGTTGATCCCGGGAGGTGCGAGCTGGCGGGGGCGTGGGCGGGACTGGGGCGGGGCGGACGCCGGGGCGGGGCCTTGGCGCTAACGGGCCCCGCCCCACAGTCTACCACGTGATCTTCATCTACTGCGCGGTCAAGGGCTACCCGGGCTTCCAGTTCTTCTACCTGCCCTACTTCGAGAAGTGAGAGTCCAGGCGTCTGCCATCCAGCGTCCTCTGAGGACCCTCTTTGGACCTGCGCCCCGTCTCGTTACCCTCATCTCAAGGAGAAAGACCGTGCCCTCTCAGGAGTTTGCTTAGAAAGTTTAGGGCACGCAGGCTTGGTCCTGGGAAAGTCGCCCTTCTGTTTTGTGCCTTAACTTATTCTCCAGCCCAGGGTCGGTGTTATTTTGTGCTAATAAAAGGGTGATTAATTCCAACAGAGGCAGTTGCTCTTTCCTGTGCCTCTGCCTCTGGCCCAGAGCATCACTGACCCCTGCTCCCTCCCCGTAAAGACTGAGAAGGGCCAGCCCAGTAGCTGAAGTGTTTCAGAAACCCACCACCCAAAAAGGCCCTGATGTTCTGAGACTTGCCCAAGGTCACATGGCATGCCTGGGACTCTACTGCTCTGGGAGCCTGGACAGCCTCCTCCACCCTCAGCCCTGGTGGACTTGGTCTTCTGTCCCTGTCTGTCTGGTCACCTGGGCGAGGACACTCAGAGATGACGCAGGCCTGGGACCTGGAGGCTGATATCCTGGTTCCAGCCTGGCTCTGGGGCCCTGGGCTGCCATGAATGTGGGATATGAAAAGGCAGTGGCCCATCCGCCTCCACCCACTGCCCTACTTTGCAGGCCCAGGGGTTGGAAGAACCAGAGTTCATGGGGAACAGGACTCACATGACAACCTCAGTGATCAAAGACTCAGAACCACAGAACATTAAAAACAGACCATCTTGAAATTTTGGAAAATCAGAGAATGTCAGAACCTTAAGAATGTAGAACCCTGAAATCTGAGATCATAGTAGCTATTATTTATCAAGCTCTTACAAGCCACCAGGCCTTGTGCTAAGCACTGTACCCAACACAGGTTGTGTTTTGAAATCCTCACAACCCTGGCCTCATTTTGCAGATGGAAACCTAAGGCTTAAGAGATGGGCCCCTTTTTTACAAAATGAAGGCTGCCTTGCCTAAGGACAGCCAGCAGCTTGCAGGCAGAGTTGAGAACATAATCCATGGCCCCAGGGCTGTGTGAGACCCCTTTTCACACACGTGGTTACAGCCCATCCCCCACTGAGATATAAATACCATTAAGCAGGGACTTGCTACAGTGTCTACAATTTCAGGACAGGGAGTGCTTTTACTCTGTGCCACCTTCTTGCCTCCAGTTGGTGCCTTTAAACTTTCTAATTTAATAATATTTTATTTATTATTATTCAGTTTGACCATGGAGAGGTAGAGTGAGAAAGCAAGCCAGCAGGTCTGGGACTCAAACCAAGGTTGGTCATGTGGGAGTCCAGCATCCCAACCATTATGCCACCTGCCGACTCCTCCAGTGGGTACCTTTAGAATTCTGTAACTTATTAAATTAACACTCAGACCCCTGCTCTTGTTGCTGCTCACCTGGCCCACCCTCACCTCTCACCTTCAGCCTCTAGGCAAGGCCAAGGCACATTTGGGGGCACCTGCTGAATGCAGTGGTTTCCCAACTAGCCTTGGTAAAGGGCAGTTTCCATTTGTAATCTGTCAGGGGCCAATGCTTTTATAAGATAAAATAAAATCTAGGAAAATGAAATTAAGAATAGACATACATAGGTCCAACTGCAGTAGTGCGTACTGGACGCTGCTGCTCGGCAAGCTGAAGCCAACTGGGGGGCCAGGGTTTGCTTCCTGGCCCACTATAAGAGCAAGTTGTATGCCTGTAACCCCAACAACTTGGGAGGCTGAGGCAGAAAGGCTCGCTACAGAGTCCCTGTCTAAACACACACAAAGCACAAACACAGATTACAAGCTCACAATTTGTATTATCAGGCTAATCACACATAGAATTTGTATAATCAAGGCAATCACATACGATTTGTTTCAATATAATCAGAACAAACAGGAAAAACAATTACAAAAAAATGTATTAACAGTAAATAGGCAATTAACATAGTCATTACTGCACTTACAACTTTTTTTGAAAAGGTTTTTGTGGGGTTTTTTTGGGTTTTACCAGAGGGTGTGAGTGCTCACTGGAGAGAAACAGAGAGACAGTGAGAGGGAAAGTGATTATGAGTCACTCTCCAATGGTCATCATGAGTGTGTCCCTATATCTTGCACTCAGCTGTGGGGAAGAATCTGACATCTGCCCTTCAATGTCTGCTCTCTATCCCTGTAGTAGAGAAACCCCTGGTTTTTAGCTAGGTGCATCACCACCCAAATAAAAACATTTCCCAACATTCTTTGCCGCTAGGTGTACCATGTGAAAAGCTCTGCCTAATGGGATATAAATGGTTCATATTCTTTATACTCCTCCGCTTTGTCCTTGCCTCCATCCTGGCCAGGAAAATAAATGTAGGCACACCCTAGGGATTTCAGAGCAGCCAGCCAGCAGCCTGGGTCTTTGAAGACAGTGTGCAGCTAGACTCCACCTACAGATTTTTCTTTCAGGAGAAATGCATTTCTTTTCTTTCTTTTTTTAAAAGAATTATTTTATTTAACATTATCCATTTTTAAATTTCAATTTGACCAGGGAGAGAGAGAGAGAAAGTGAGAAAGCAAGCCACCAGGCTCAGGACTCAAACCATAGTTGGCCATGTGGGAATCCAGTGCCTTTAACCACTACGCCATCTGCCGACTCTGAGGGGAAATGCATTTCTACCCAGGTTAAGGCATTGTTATTTTGGTCTCTGTGATTCACAGGGAATCCAGTCTGATATTGACACTTTCTTTTTGGGGATTGGAATTCTCTGACTTTTTGGGGTGGAAAATATCCAGCAATTTATTTTTCTTCTCTTTTGTTTGTGACTACTGGTTTACATATAATTGGTGCACATCTTTGTGGTTTACTGTATGGGTTTTCAGAACATGCCTACAGTGTGCAAGAATCAAATAAGAGATATAGACGTATTTATCTTGACATTGAACATTACATTATGTTGTACACATTCGATAATATTAGGTCATCGGGAAAGTCGTAATGTATTTTTCTGTTTTTCTATTCAAAAATACATCATGACTTTCCCAACCACCTGATAGTTCTGCCTTTGGGGGCCAGCGGTGGCCTGGTGGTTAGAGTCCTGGGTTCCCACGTGGCTGGCTCATACTGATCTCTCTTCCTTCCGTTTCCTGTCTCTCTCTCTGCATTTATTTTATGGTCTCTTTTAGACAGTTCTATTACTTACACTCTGAGATGCCAATTCACCTGATTTTGCATCTGCCTAGTCTCTCTATGGTGGTTTATTTTTTTGTATAATCTGTCAGTTTTGTCATTAGTTCATCTTCAGGAGCAGCAGTGTTTTTTATGGTTTTCTTTTTGTTTTGAAAAGTTCCATGTGCCCCGAGTTAAAGGAATATCCCTTTTCAGCAGTTTTTGGTTCCCACTGTTTCAGTTTTCGCACCCTGGGGAATAAACACACACACACACACACACACACACACACACTCTCCTCCTTGAAGTGCAGGCCCTAGAGTTTCAGGTTCTCTAGGGCAACTTGCTTCCACTCGAGGCCCTGAACATCTGCATCTCACAATAATCAGTGGAGATATATTTTAGTCCCCTTTTCAGGAACAGAACAGGGTAGCCTTTTGAGACCCTGAACTTTATCCAGAAAGTTAATTTCTTGCTCCCCAGACTTATACAGGCCTTCTGGCTTTTCTGAGTGTTGGGGCCCAGGCTCCTAGGCCTCTCTCTGAATCTCAAACCTCCACAGGGTTGGCTTCATTCTCCCACCTAGCTTTAATTTCTCGTATTCGGTACCTGGAGTCATCTCTTTCTTTTGAGGACAGAAGTCTTGGCTGCTTTATCCTATTTCTAAAATCCCTTCAAGAGGGCCTGGAATGAGTCACACCTACAAACATTGACTGACCATTTTGACCCATTTGATAACAGGACTCTTCCTATATCCTGTCCCAGGCATGGTATCTTTGTGACAGGTGAGTCACATCCACAAACTTTAACAGACCATTTTGACTCCTTGATAACAAGACTCTTCCTACATCTTGTCCTTGGGATGGTTTTTGCCACATAAACAAGCCCCTTTATCTCTGTTAAAGTATACTCTTTGCTGATCCCTTCCAGAAGCACACACCTTCCTTTCCAGTCAACAGCCTAAGAATTATAAAACCCACCTATGGCCTACAAGCTTCCACTTTAAGATGTCCCACCTTTTTGGGTCAGACCAATGAAACAACTCTTTTCGCTAAATTCCAAACCTTGTTTCTCATTCTCAAAATCAAGTAAAAGGAATCCCTGTATCTGATCCCCCCAAAAAAGGCGTATTTACTTTTATCCAGGCAGGTCACACATATTCCTGTTTAGCAATAAATCTCATTAATTATTATTTCTGTAGAGTTGGTTATTTCTGTCGACACTTTCGAGATCACTTTCTTTCTAAAACATTTTCTGTACACAGCGGGAGGGGTCTGGCTACCCTCTCAGTTCATCTTGTTACTAGGGATTCCCCCAGTACTGCACTGCTTGCTTGCTTGTTTTGCTACAGGAGGTGTGCACTGGCCAGAGAGAGGGGGAAGTAAGAAATCAGCCCCTGGGAGGATGACCAGGTAGCAGTCCCTTCTCGTTCATTCTCCTCTCAGGATTTTGGGTATGCACACACATGCACCTGGTGGTTTTCTTTTTAAAGTTTATTTTATTTTATTTTTTAAATTTGTTTATTCATTTTAACTTGACCAGAGAAGAACAGGATGAGAGAGAGTGAGTAAGGGAAAGTGAGAAAGCAAGCCACCAGGTTCAGGACTCAAACCGTGGCCAGCCCTGTGGGAGTGTCCAGCGCCTTAACCACTGTGCCACCTGCTGGTCCCCAGCACCTGGTGATTTTCAAGCCACTGGGTCCATGATTCAAACTATGCAGTTGGTCATGTGAGATCCAGTACCTTAACTTCCATGTCACCTGCTGGCCCTGTGATGTCTTTGAATGCTGTCAGTTCCACTGGGTTATTTTATTTATTTATTTATTTTTGAGTTTTTTTTTTTTTTTTTTTTTTTTTGCTATAGGGTGCATGTGCTTACCAGAAAGACAGAGAGAGACAGAAAGACAGAAAGCGAGAAATCATCCCCCCCTGGGGGGTTGGCCACACCGCAATCCCTTCTCCTCCATTCTCCTCTTGGGATCTTGGGCATGCATGCACATGCACCTGGCACGCGACATAGCCATTACGCTAACTGCTGGTCCCGCACTAGGTTATTTTTGAAACCTTCCTGGTGTGTTTTCCCTACCTCTGTAGAGTCTGGAGAGATCCAAACCTCATTCACACTGGAGAGTGTTGAGAGCAGATTTTCTCCAGGCAACTTGCATAGGCTAGAGGTGAGGATGACAGGCAAACTGTTGAATCAGATGTTATCAGGGTGGAAATCTGGATGCTGCTGGGTCTCTTCCACCCTGGAGCCTTTGGGGACGGTGTGCAGCCTGGATCCGCTGGTATCTGGGCCCCAGAGGCAGCAGATTGACCCTCCCGGAACCTCAATGCGTGGAGAGCATCATCACGAACTCTGAGGGGGAGAGAAGGCAGAACTTGGGCTGGTCCAGAGGAGGGTGGGCAGGCAGTGCTGGGAGGAGGGTCGTCAGGGAAGCTCACCGTCAAAGTCTACGGTGCCGTCCCCATTGAGGTCCACTTCTCGGAGCATTTCATCCAGCTCAGGCCCTGCCAGCGGCTCACCCAGCAGAGCTGGGGCTGCCTGCCGCATCTCCGCCACGGTGATTCGTCCATCCTTGTCCCTGTCAAACTAGGGTCAGGGGCAAGCTCAGCCTCTTCCACCCTCTCTGACCCAGGCCTAGGCCCCAGTCACACAGCCTGCAGGGCGCTAGGCCTCCAGAAAGCTGAGTTCCCCATCCCCCTCGACCGTGAGAGGCCGTGTTCCCTGCCGCCCCAGCCCACCTCGCCGGCTCCACACCTCTTGGAAGGCGATGCGCAGCTCTCGGACTCCCAACATATGAGCCGTCTCCTCCCTCAGTTTTGGGCCTATCAGTTCCACAAACTCCTCGAAGTCCACGCGGCCACCCACTGCAGATCCAAGCAGTGTCACAGTGGTGAGGGCTGGGGTCCAAGGAGGGATGTCACAGCCCCAGGAACTCCCATTTCCCCTCCAACCCAAATCCAGTAAAGAATACCACATCCAAACCAACAAGGGGGTGAGAGGTTGGAGCCCCGTTCCCTGGGTACTAGGGCATGGGAGTTGCTTCTGCTCTTGGAGAAACACTGGAGTGTGGGAGAAAGGGACCAGGCTCTGGAGCCAGTCAGCCCAGGTTTCAGTGCTGTCTCTGCCACTGGTGTGCGAGCGTGGCCCTGGATAATTTATCAACCCTCCCCGGCCCTCCTAGGATGGGACCAAGCTAACCCACGGGGTGAGGTTGCCAGTTGGGGTAGAGCTCAGGGCCACGAAGTGCTGGAGCCCGGTAGGTGGCATATTGCCACTTAGGAAGCGTGGCCACGTAGGCAGCCCGTGGAGCTAAGATGCCAGCAGTCACATAAAGCATCAATGGTCCAGTAACAGCTCTGGAGGAAGGAAGAGAGGTGTGATGCTAAGTGTTCACAGCAATATCATTGTGTGGTCAAAAAAGTCATGATGCATTTTTGCATAGAAAACTAGAAAAATAAATCATGACTTTTCCGACAACCCAATAAAGCACATCCTCATTCTGGAAACTGTAAGAAAACAATGCCGAGGGCCAGCTAGGCAGAGGGGTGAAGGCACTGGATTCCCACATGGCTGACTGCGATTCAAGTCCTTGACCCAGTGGCTTGAAAATCATGCCAAGTATGTGTGCATGCATGTCCAAAACCCCGAGAGGAAAGTGGGTGAGAAGGGATTGCGACTGGCCATTCCCCTGGGGGGCGATTTCTCACTTTCTCTCTCCTTCCAGTGAGTGCACATGCCCTATGGCAAACAAACAAAAAACTCTTTAAAAAGGAAAAGAAAACAACGTAGGTGTCCTGAAGGGAATATGATATTTGCCTGAGGGCAAACAGAGGGTAACCACACAGGTGCCCACCCATTACTTAGTCGCGAGGAACGGCCAGGGTTCCCCCACACCGGGCCCCATTGAGCCTCCCAGAAGCTGTATTCCTCCTCCCAAGGCAACTCCGATCTAGACAGCTGCCACCAGGGCATAGGGGTGGGGCTGGGCAGGGTGCACCAGGCCGCTAGCGCCAGCAGAGAGCACGTTGTCACCTAGTCAGCGCAGGCAGGAAGGGCTTGGGTGGGAGGGGCGGAGCCGTGCAGCGACCAGACAGACATGGCGAGTCCAAGTTTCTCAACCCCAGCCCCAGGGCCTCTTTTGGCTCACTGCCTGCCTTCCTTGCCCGCCCCTCCACTCCAGGAGGCAGAATTTGGACCCACTGTCCTCGCACCTGACAAGGCCAATGTGGTCCTGCCCATTCTCCCCTGGAAACTGTCACCTTCCCTCACTTCCTGTCGTCACCCATCACAGGCCCAGAAGTCACTTCCCACAGTCCCCTTATTAACACCCTGAACCGTAGGCTCAGAGAACACCAGGGCTGTCCCGCCCACCCCGGCCACGGTGCTCAGCCACTGACTGCGCATCTTGACGTGCTGCGAGACTTCAAGGAGCTCCATCTCGGTGGGCATGTAGCCGAGGGTCCGCATGCAGTCGCCCAGCTCCCGGTAGCCAATGTAGCCATCATGGTCGGTGTCGAACTCCTCGAAAGCAGCATGAAGCTCTGTGGGGGAGGGAAGTCAGGCCCAGTTGGGTAGCCAGGCTCAGGGATACTCCAGCCCCCTGCCAGCCACAAGGGTACTCACCATCCAGCTCCTCGGGGCCCAGCTCACGATCCTGCAGGGATAGTCCAGCATGTCCGCAGGGCCAATCATGGCTCTGTCCACCCTTCCTCCTCCAGCCCCTGTCCACACTGGCCTGGGCAGGGCCAGCCCCACCGAGACAGGAGAAGGCAGCTGAAGTCCTGTGAGCCCCAGAGGAGAGAGCCCCCCTTTGTGCTCCCAAGGCCTGGAGCCCCCACAGCGCCCTGGTGTGAGTCCTAGTGTTGCCCACTGCCCAGGCTGGCCTGAGATCTATCCATCCTTCCCCAAATGCAGAAACCTGCCCTACAGCCCAGGATCCCTGAGTCTGGGCCAGAAGAGGCAGGAGACCCGAGTCCCTGCTCCCACCCGCCAGGCTCCACCTGACCTTCCCGAAGATCCGGTTGAGCAGGGGCCCATATGTTCGCTGAGCAGCTTCGTGCTGGGGGTCAGGACGGTGCCGGTGAGACTGACGGCGGGGTGTGGGTCCAGCAGTTGCTCCCGGGGCACCCCCCTGCCCCTCTCCAGTTTTAGAAGGATTCTTGCTGCTCCCTAGGGTTTCTGGGCCCTGGACAGAGGTCTGATCCCCAGAGCTGCCAGTGCTCTTCTGGGATCCTCGGGGCCCCTTCCCCTTCTTGCTTTTCTTCTTGGTCAAGGGGGGCCTCTCGGCACCACTCCCAGGGGTCACAACATCTGCAGGAGGATCCTGGGGGCCTGAGGCCTGGTCTGGGCCCTGCTGCCCACTTGCCTGCTCTGTGGCCATGTGGGGAAGGACAACAGGGCTCAAGGATGCAGCTCCCCTGAGCACCCCTGGCTCTCAGGACCCATAAAGCTGCTTATGCCCCCCCCCCCCCTTAGAGCCGATAGCCTGGACTCCGGTCCTGAGGGGGATTAGGGTAAGTGAGGCAGGCAGCACAGGCCCTAATCCCAGCCTTCTGCCCCAAGGGTGGCCCGAGTAGAGCCAGATGGGCCAAGAGGACTGTCCTCAGTCAATGGCAAGGAGTGCCAGGACATGGAGGTGGCCATGAGCTTCAGACTCCAGCTCTGTCACTTATTAGCTGGGAGACCCAGCAAATCCCCTCCTCTAAGTCTCAGTTTCCTCATCTATAAAGTGGGGGAATATTGCTGGAGAAGAGAGGACTCAGCCGGCTGTGTGACCTGGGCAGGACCTAGCTAAGCAGAGAGGACCAGGGAAATCTCCTCAGGCAGCAGGGAGAGCACTGGCAAAGGCTGGGAGGGAGGACAGGAAGGACGCGTGGCCTACTGGGGCCTACTGGGACCCTCGTGGGGTGACATCCTGCTGGAGCAGAGAGTATGCCATCGAGGAAGAGAGGACGATCAGAGGCCTTGAAAGCTGGATTCAGTGGCCTGGGGGGTAAAAATCGAGGAGGTGGACTCAGCGTCCTAGGGCCTGCCCTGAGCTGGAGGGGCCTGGGTGAAAGGGGCTCAGCTGTCCATCCTGTTGGGGACGGGGAGCCTGGCTGGTCACTTGGCCCTCAGGACCAGGGTTAGGGTTTCCCAGCAAGCGGCCCCATGAATGATTGATGTCCTCTCAGCTTGAGTTTCCTGCCTACCCGCCTTAGCGCCGCCGGGCGCCATGCAGCAGGCCCCAGCGTGGGCCGTGTGGACGGCTGGACCACCGGGCAGCCAGGCACGCCTTGCTCTTCCTGGCATCGGCCTGTGCCTCCCAGGTAAGCCAGGCCTCACCAGCAAGGCCCTGGGGTGGGCAGGGCTCTGATCCAATGGAGACTAGAGCTTACAGACAGGGTTTCCTCTGAGGAAGAATCCTGGGGATGGGGAGGACAGTAAGCTAAGGGTCAAGTGGCCAGAGCCAGGGACCACAGGCAGGATCCAGCCCTTCTGGGCATCTGGTTCCCCACTAACTGTGCTGCCGTCAGGTCTTTCGCCAGCCTCAGAGGGAGCTCCAGCCTCTCCATCAGCTGGAGAAAGTGCGATGGCAGCAGAAGGCCTCTTCGGTCCCCAGCCTCGGTGCCCCTAGGTAGCAGTTCCAGGAGACACATGGAGGCTGGAACTGTGGAAAGCAGTGGAAGGCAGAGAATGCTGCAGAGACTCAGGCTGCTCCTAGGACAGCCCTCCTGGCCCCCTCGCTGCCAGGGCCCCGGGGCTCAGTCCTTACCCTGAGTTCTCAAGATGCTCACTGGGGAGAGGGCCCTCCTGCTGCCCCAGACTCCCAGCCCACCCCACGGGAGCCAGAGCCCTCCCCGCTTGGAATCTTTTTTTTTTTTTTTGGAGAGATTTTCACTGTAGGGCGCGTGCGCTCGCCAGACAGACAGAGAGAGACATAGAGACAGAAAGCGAGAAATCACCCCTCAGGGGGGATGGTCACGCCGCAATCCCTTCTCCTCCATTCTCCTCTCGGGATCTTGGGCACGTACGCACATGCGCCCGGCGTGAGTTTTAAGCCACCGGGTCCAGGACACGAACCGCGGTCGACTACGTGGGAGTCCAGCGACATAGCCATTATGCTAACTGCTGGTTCCCTCCCCGCTTGGAATCTTAAACACTTGAATCCCAGGACACCAGATGGCTTATGGTGATCTGATCAAGCGGTTTTCAAACTGTATTCCCTAGAATCCTAGGGGTACTCTCCTCTCCTTTAATCTGAGTACCTCCTTTTCGTTCATTAGGAGTTTCACTATAATACTTTATCAAAAAACAAGATTTGGCTCAGCTGTGGTTGCACACACTACTAAGGCACTGAGCTTCATGGCTGGGACCACATGGGAGACCTGGATTTGATTCCTGGTTCACCCTGAAAGCTGGGTGCAGCGCCATATCACCTGTCATCCAGAGACTCAGGTGTCTGAGGCAGGGTGATTGTGAGCAGGAGGCTGGCTTGGCCATATGGAAAGACCCTGTCTAAGAAAAAAACTGGCGTGGTGGTATACACCTGGAGTCCCAGCTAGGTGGCTGAGCCAGGAATATTGTGATAATGAAACTCTGTGTGTATATATATGTATATGTATATGTGTGTATATATATATATATATATATATATTTAAATGGAAGAAAGACAAGACTTAACAGCTTTACCAATATGCCCTAGAGCCTTTGTTTAGGCTACTTGGAACACACTGGGATTCAGTGTGGTAGAATGGTTAAGTCTGGGGTTAAGTCCAGGTACCTCCCCTCTTACCTATGACCTTGGGCAAGTCACTGATTCTCTGAACCACCTCTCACCTATAAATGGACTCTATGAGAATTCCGTGAGGTCATCAACTCCAAGTCCTTGGCACAGGCTAATTACCCAAAAGATGGTGATGATAGCCAGAGAGGGACAGTGACTTGCTTGGAGATGCACGGCACCCTCTCTCTCATACTCAGTTATTCTTGCATTCATTGACTTACCAGGTGCCCACTCTGTGTCCAGTGGCACGCTGGGGACCCCACATGGACACTGCTATGGAAACCAACATGGATGCTGCTGGCCGAGGGCCCCGAACCGAGCTCGATGACGAGGACTACTATCCTCAGGGTGGCTGGGACATGGTCTTCCTGGTAGCCCTGCTGCTCCTGGGGCTGCCAGCCAATGGGCTGATGGCGTGGCTAGCTGGCTCCCAGGCCCGGCACGGAGCAGGCACACGACTGGCCTTGCTCCTGCTCAGCCTGGCCCTCTCTGACTTTTTGTTCCTGGCAGCAGCAGCCTTCCAGATCCTGGAAATCCAACATGGGGGGCACTGGCCATTGGGGACCACTGCCTGCCGCTTCTACTACTTCCTGTGGGGTGTGTCCTACTCCTCTGGCCTCTTCCTGCTGGCAGCCCTCAGCCTGGACTGCTGCCTGCTGGCGCTGTGCCCACGTTGGTATCCAGGGCGCCGCCCAACTCGCCTGCCCCTCTGGGTCTGTGCGGGGGTCTGGGTGTTGGCCACCCTCTTCAGTGTGCCCTGGCTGGTGTTCCCCGAGGCCACCGTCTGGTGGTATGACCTGGTCATCTGCTTGGACTTCTGGGATAGTGAGGAGCTGCCGCTGCGGATGCTGGAAATCCTGGGGGGCTTCCTGCCTTTTCTTCTGCTGCTTGTCTGCCACGTGCTCACCCAGGCCGCCACTTGCCGGACCTGCTGCCGCCGCCGCCTGCCTCACAGCACAGCCTGCCACGGCTTCGCC